AGGCAATTTAGGGGTTTTAGTCGAAGTGATCAAATAGTCAAAGTGATCAAATTCATGTGGTGGTTGAGAAAAATGAAATTGGGAATATTTGGATGGTTTTGGGAATTTTGGGATTTTTTAGAATTTTTGAAATTTTAGGCTAAAGAGGGGCCTTTTGGTAATTTGGCAATTTTTTTTGGTGATTTTGAGTAATTTGGATGTTTTCAAAAGGTTTGAAATGATTTTTGAACAAATTTGGGTATTTTGGATAAATTTGAGAATCTTGGCCAAATTTAGGGTTTCAAGGGTACTTAGTTAATTTGGGAGAGTTTAGGGGCAAAAAGGCCAAGTTCAGTATTTTTGGTAGAATTGGGGTGCCAACCACCATAAATGAGCTATGGACCAATGAAAACCTCATTTAGGTTCTCTATGTACTGGTCTTAGCTAAACCCTAGCCTAGGGTCATTGGGTTTAGGGGACCATCTACATGAGTCTCCCAAATGATTAAGGGATCAAAGTCAAAAAATTTTGTGTTTGTATTTGTAAGTAATTGTGAGTGAGGTGAGTAACTTAACTCCAGACCAACACCCAAAGTTAACCCTAAGGTCAAGCAGTCCTATGGGAACTTTTCTTGGGCTCTCTTGGGCTCGCTCAGTGCTAGAGGTTAGGACCACTATGTGGAACTTCAAGTTGAGTAAAGAGAAGTTTGGAATTTCTAATGGTGAGGGTTCCTTTTCTAGTTTTCTAGGAATAGTTAACAGGAAATTCCTATGGCTAGACCCTAGGCTACTAAAGAGGAAAAACTAGACCTTAACCAAAAGTGAGGTCAACAACTGCATAAAAGCATTTGAACTAATTCCTGAGAGATGTTTAAAAAATTTGGGTGGAGCAATGGAAGATTTAATAGTTCACCGACAATGGGAACAATTTTGTTGTTTTTTTGTTGTGGCTGTAATTTCTATTGTTCGGGAGTTTTACGCTAATCTCCCTAAAGCTGAAGAAGATTAGTTCATGGTTTGAGCAAAATCAATGCCTTTCTCCCCTGAGGCAATAAATTTTTTTTACCAGTTGCCCCTAATGTATTGTGTTTTTATTTGAATAATAATTCTACTGAGGAGGAGTTGGATGAGATCATATCTTCATTGACTGTGGGAGGAGGACTCTAGAAGATAACAAATGGAAGAAGAGTCAATTTCCCTTCATCAAAGCTAGATGTCACATCAAAGGCGTGCCACTACTTTATTTTAGCTCGTCTGCTCCCGACCAATCACCTCAGTGAAGTTGCCAAAGATAGAGCTACCTTGAACTATTGCATTCAGCAGTGCAAGCCGATCAACATTGGATCTTTTATCTATCAGACTATCATCAGTTCTACTATAGCTACTACTACTGCAGGTTTGGGATTTACATCCTTAATTTTTTTCTTATGTGAGCAAGATTGTGTTAGATTCGATAGTTGTGAGTAGATATTGCAGCCTATAACGGCATTAATGTGAAATCTTATTCACAACATTTGATATTTGGCTGGAGAGGAGGATTTTATAGTAGTTCAGGTGCTTCTACTTCTTATACTTCAACATTTGATATTCTGAACCAAAAATTTCCTATAAAACAGCAAGTCTAATAGTAGTTCTGCGCTTCTACTTCAGAAGGGAAATTTTCGCTATTTTAACTTTAAGCTTCTTCTTCTTCTTACTTATAATAACTTGCTGAAACTCTTCTTACGCAAGAGAAGGTAAAAACCATGGGAAAAACTATCAAGTTTACATGTTAAACATCCACATCATAAGGTCAGGCTTCTAGTTCTAATTCGCAGGCTCATCCAATGCAAAGGATGTTAGATAACATCAATTATATTGGGGATAAGGTATTAAATTTAGAGAGTTTTGTAGATCATATGAATGTTTATATGAGAAGACATAGTGATTATGAAGAAAAAGTTCACTCATGTTTGGAAAACCCTATCAGGGGTGACCAAAGTGTAGTTTTTTCCTTCATATCCACAATATCCTTCATATGAACCTACTACTTTTTCGAATAGTGATGATAGTGATGATCATGATGATGAGGAGGAGGAGGATTAATTTGAGTAGTTTAATTATTAATTGTGAACTTTATATGGTATAGGTTTATTAAACTATTAATTTATTTTGTGTTGTGCTTGTTTAGAGTGCTACTATTGTTTGTGTTTTGTTTTGTCAGATGTTGATGTGATGTATTTATGTTATTGTGAGTAGTTATATTTTATTTTACTAGTAGTGATTGTGATAACTGTGTTGTCTAGTATACTTTGTTATTTTGTGTTGAACTTAATCCTGAATATTAGGAAGGCTGAGAATATTACTAACTTTTACTTAAGAACTTCATGCTTAAGATTTTCAGTTTACTACCAGGTATTTTCCTTATATTACAGTTGTGAATTTCTATTAGTGTGTTTGTTTGCTTTTATGTTATCCTCTGCTGCATAGAAGTCTAATGAATCTCAATATGTTAAAATAAGTTAAAATTTGATAATTAATTGTTACTCCAGTTTTTAATTTTTGTACTTGTATATTTAGGGTATAAAAATTCCTCTAAGGATGTTATTTTTAGTTTTCATTCCAACCAATATATAAATATGATGCTAAAATGATTTATCTTATTAAAAAATTAAGTTTGGGGGGGATGAAAAACAATTTCTAAAACTTGAATTTCATTTGTACTCAAAGGTGAGATAAATTTTTTTTTATTTGAAAAAAATGATTATGTATATGAAGTTATATTAGGAAAGTAAAATTTTGAATCTAGAAATGAGTAAAAAAATTTAGTTGAAACCTATAGTCATGAAGAAAAACATAAAGTTAAAAATTTTTAATGTCGAAATGATAAATATTGTGTCACTGTCTTTAGTAGGACAAATTGTATCTATGAAAAACATAGAAGGGTTAGACTTTTAATTTCAATACTTCAATTTCTTTTATTAAAAATTATTTTCAATACTATTATTATATTTTTAAGTTAATGATATATATCAGAACTTTGCTTTATGAAAGGAGGAGCAGACTTCAAAATCATTAAAGGCCTATCCAGATATAATAATCCCCAACTGAAAGAAAAAAAAAAATAGAAAAAGAAAAAAAATAGAAAAAGAAAAAGAAAAAGAAAAAAAATAAAAGAAAGTTGAAAAAGGGAGGAGAAGCTTGAGGCTTGGCGTCTAATCAAAAATTAGTTACACATCTAATTTCTTAAAGTATAAGACTTGAGAAACTTTTAAGCTTAAGGATATAATATAGTAAGTATAATTATTCTTAATAAAAATTTTTAAGTGGTGAAAATAGAATGCCTAAACTTTATTTTTGGAGAATTTACAAATATTTTTGAACTAGATATAAACTCATATTTTCATACTTCTTTACATTAAAGATTTCTAAACTTTAAGCTGGTCTCATGTACTAAAGTTTTTTCTAAATTAGACTATTATATTTCTAGATCAAAATTTTAGAATATCCTTTTTAGAATATTCTAGATCAAAATTTTAGAATATCCTAAGGAAACTCATTTATATAATCTACTTATTTTGGCTTTGAAAGATTGGAGTGTCACTTGATGACAATTAACATTTTAAGTTTGAGGGATTTTGATACACTTAAAATAAATAACATTTATGTACGCAATTTTATACCTATTTTTGAGGATATTGCACTTTAATGCAAGATACTTGTGTGTTTTTCTTTCAGGTACAATCAAATGGATGAAAAATGGTGAAAGAAGTGAAAAAGGATTAAATTTAGACAAAAAATGAGTAAGGTGTGCAAAAGAACTGTGGCGCCTAAGCCCCCACGACTAGTGCTTAAATGTCAATAAAACCGAGAAGGCCGTGTCTAAGTATGAAGCAAAGTTTTGAAATGACATATCTTTAGTAAGACAAATTGTATATTATGTCGAAGAAGGTTGTGCCTAAGTATTAACATTGTTTTTGCATCCTTCTTCAACATTAGATATTTAATAGCATAGTGATTTGTATGCACTATACATTTAGTTCCAATAAGACAAGACATAAATTTATCAAAGGCATATATTATCGATAATAACTCTTTTTCCGTAGTAATATAATTAATTTGAGTTTCATTAAAAGTTTTACTAACATACCATATTATTTTGAAGATTTTTATCATAATTTTGCCCCCAAAACAACCTCAATAGCATAAGCATTTGCATCACACATAAACTCAAATAGTTTCCCCCAATCGGGTGAAAACAATAATAGGAGCGGTGATTAATTTTTCTCTTAATAACTCAAAGAAATTTGACAATCTCGATTAAAATCATAAGACATGTTTTTCTAAATGTTGGCATAAATGCTTAATAATTTTTTTAAAATCCTTGATGTATCAACTGTAGAAACTAACATGTCCTTAGAAACTCCTAACTCCTTTCAGTATTAGGAGGAGACAGGCGATGATTGACAATCAGGAAAATCGACAAGGAGCATTCTCTCGGATCAGATGTCGACGAAGCCAAGGCTTAGTAGGTGAATTTTCTCGCATGAGTGGGGGAGAGAGAGAGAGAGAGAGAGAGAGAGAGCTCAAGGCTCAGTAGGTGAATTTTCTCGCATGAGTGAGAGAGAGAGAGAGAGAGAGAGAAAATGTTCAATTTTTTTATTATTTGTGTTATACTCTCATAAGCAGCTTATGGCAATTTTTTTACCAGATGAGCCGAAATATCTCACGAGAGACTTGGTAAATGGTAATGATAGGCGTCATCAAAATACAAAAAGAATGATTTCCTGTAGAAATACGTGCTCTGCTACGCGAACCAAAGTGCGTGCATGTCGTCCAAACATCCTCCCAACACTGGTCAAACAATAGAAGCCGTCCATCTCATGACTATTCGGCCAATTAGGTGAAAGGTCGGCATCAAACCAAAGAGATGAACGGGGTGATGACTTGCTTCATTTTCCTTCTTGGGATGAATTCTAAAGTCGGTTTAACAAACAAAAAACATAATGAAAAAGAACCGTTTCTAATTGATGAAACCGTAAGAAAAATATATATAATTAATTAATTGAAGCTGTACATCTCGGTCTCTCCTACCTCTCTTCGATCATCAGAAATGAGTTAAGCAATAGTTAAAACTGAATAAAAGAAGAAATCAGGGTGGGGAGGTTGCTTCTCGGTTGCCGCATTCCCTAATGCGCATCTCAATGCTCTCCCCATCCGCCTTTCGCCGCACATCGCAGCATTGCCGCCTCGGTGCCTGCATCCCAACAGCAATCCTTTAAAACTGCCGTCTAAAAAAATCTAGAATATAAGAGAATATATATGAAATATTACACCACCAACCAACCTTCTCACGAACATTTGGATTCATCTTAGTCGCGAAGACCCGAACGCTCCTAACCCTAGAGGCGGCGCGGAAGCCCGGCTCATCGCACTCCGTGCTCTCGTCCCCCCAGCCGAATCTCTTATACTCCGTTACCGTCCCGTTACTCTCGTCCACAACCTGGTCAAGGAAGAACCGCAAGGGCCTCTTGCAGGGCAAGGCTGGCGGCTCCAGCTCCCTCGTGTTAAAACTGAAGGGCCCTTTCATGTAGCTTCTCCATGTCTTGAAGGTTCGGAACGGCACTTCGAGGTGACTGCTCGGTACAATCCATGGGTAGAGCTGGACCGTGTATCCCCATGAGACGGACAAGGACCAATTGCTGGCTGGCGAAGAGAGGCCGGTGAGATAGCAGAAGCTTTGCTGAAGCGTGCGGGCAGGGTCTGTGCGAGCGGCTGTGAAGAGGACTCGGAGAGCGTCGAGTTGGGAAGGGAAAAGCGGGGAGATGGGCTGAACGTAGTCCAAGTGGTGGAGGGATACGAGCGGCGCCACCGGGTGTGCCGCTAACATTCCGTAAATGTCGCCGCGAAGGTCAACCTGCGATTTGTCAGCGCGGCATTAGCGTTATACCTACCTATGCCACGTTAGAAAATTTTAAATTTTTTATTTAATTTTTAAGGCTAATTTGTGATTACTGTTTACTGGTCAACCACCTTAGTAAAATTGTAGCCCACAGTTTTGATTTATTAAGAGAATGGGCCTTCAATTAGGAAAACATATTACGTCCATCAAATGATGGACGATATGACACATTTCTTAGGCAAATGATATGATGTGATGTATACCATCATCGATATGTTTGCAATACTCTTTTGATTTAATGTGTGAGCTTGTGATTAATTTTATTTATAATTTAAAAAAAAATCTTCGAGATAAAACAAATCAAAATTGCAGAATTTTGACATTTAAAAGCTCATGGAAACAGCAAAAAAACTTTGAAACTCAATCAAAACTCTATTATATATGATAATTTTAAATTATATAAAATTTCTATTTTCAATAAAGTGTTTTTAATTTTAGATTTCTTGGACAAAGTTAAATAAAAATAAACATGAAACCAAAATAATTGTCGGTCCAAATTACAAAATTCCAGTCGTGGTCAAAACAATTATTTTTCTCTTGCAATATGACCGAAAAATAAGGGAAATTTACTTACATAACAACAAACTCCAACGTAATTACCCATCTAACAATTGATTTCTTTTTTTACATGCATAGTATCTTAACTTTTCATTAAAATGTGTATTTATATTTTCAATAGTTAAAATGAGTATTTTTTATGTAATATAAAAGATTTGGGTGGTATAAAGGTAAAAAAAACAGGCTAACGGTTAGAGATGTAAATAAATGGTATTTGGTTGTTCTGAAAGTTTTTGCCCCAAATACTGAAGTCGGAATGAGTCAAATAATCTGAAAACATTAGGTTACCAGGGAAGATGTGGGCCCTAATTATTAAAAAATTATTACGATTGGAGTCTTGGATGTTCCGTCCAAACTCTAATTAAAATTTGAAGCGTGTCATTGTCTAAAATCAGAAAAGCTTAAAGTCTGATTTAATCATAGAGTACACCGGGGTTGTATTGAAAGTTTTTCTTCATTATAACCATGTTGTATATTATGTCTTTTACATCAAATTGTTTAATTGAATGTTTTTCTATTTAATACAATATGGTTGTACTGAAGAGAAACCTCCATTACAATCATGTTGTACTCCTTGATCGGTTCAAATTTTTGGCTTCTCCGTTTCTTATACAAGGATATGTGTCAAATTTTAATTAGAGTCCGGACGTAACTCTATGTAGAGACCGCAGATGTAATATTTTCTCCCAATTATTTTACAATTTTCAAAGAAATCACGGTTCTTCACTCTTCAGATGCTCTAAAATAGGGAAACGTTATTCTAAATGTATAACTTCTTCAAAAACAGAACTTTCGGATGAAAATGTTTCTCTTAACAATTCATGCGGCATGGACTGCATATCATACAAACCATATCTATATATACTAACTATAAAAATATTTAATTTTTATTTAGAACATTCAAATTTTTCATATCACTTAAAGAAAAAAAATCATAACTCCAATTTTTTGAAGTGCAACATACTTTTATTATAAAAAGGCAAAAGATTATAAATATAAAAATTAAAATTTAGACCTCCATAAGAATAAAAAAAAAATTGGGTACGCATGCAAAGAGAATAAAATTGTTGTATCAGATTTGGCTGCTGACTAAATTTGAATATGTTCTATGAATTTAAAATGTGTTCAGATTAATTTACTAATTTTTTTTTGAAAAATTCAAGTCTTAACTAAATAATTATTTTAATGTCAATTATTGGAACACATTGCTTAACCATTAGCCATAATAAAATTTGTAGATTTTAACTAAAATTAACATAATTCGTTAGATATAATTCAAGCTGCTTTATAGAATTTATAAGCTAATAAAAATAAATACTTATTTAACTTTTATTTAATGATTTATTCAATTTTTTTTCAATAATTTATGGTCTGTTTGGGGCAGCTTATTTGGTGTGGTTGCGTTTTAAAAATGTACCTGACATGTTTGGGTAAACTGTTTGTTGGTAGTTTATGTGTTTTCAAAAAGCTGAAAATAACGTTTTCATACCGCACATGTCTAGGTGTTGTGGTAGCTTTCTGGGTGCGGTCTGATTTTTCCAAAGAAATAAAAATTTGTACGTTTGGGGCAGCTTATTTGGTGTGGTTGCGTTTTGAAAATGTACCTGATCTGTTTAAGTAAACTGTTTGTTGGTAGCTTATGTGTTTTTAAAAAGCTGAAAATAACGTTTTCATACCGCACCTGTCTAGGTGCTGTGGTAGCTTTCTGGCTGCGGTCTGATTTTTCCAAAGAAATAAAAATTTGTAATAGCTACCGCACATAGCTTATCAACAGATTATTTTTAATCAGCTTATCAGCAGATTATTCAATAAGCTGCAACTGCCTCAAACAGAGATATAAAAAATAATAAAAAATAATAAGCATTTGTCTAATAAAAAATCAAATTTTCACAAGATAAAATTTTCATCAAACATGTTTGTAAATCCAAATAAAGAAATGAGTTAATTTTTAAATTTAATTGATTTAAATTTTACGTATATTTGTTAAATATGGTAATCAACTGACATAAAAAATAAAATTATTAATCGCCTTACACTACAAAAAAAACTGTTACCTGATGAAACCCCGGTTCTCGTGTTAACGGAACCCCAAGCTCGCTAAAGCAAGCCTGCACGCGCTGATCGCTTCCATATAGATCAGCGTACCTCTCAAGACACCCGTCAATAACACCAGAAAGCGCCGCCGCCGCCGCGTAACTGACAGCAAACCCGCCTCCTCCGAAAGCCATGCCGTACGAATGCATCTCGTCCTGCTCCACGCTCTCCGACGGCGCACCGATGTAGTATATCTGTTCATGATCATATTTCCCAAGAACGGCAACCAGATTCTCCGGAAAGAAAACGGTGTCGTCATCCCCCATCACGAACCATCGCACCCCTTCCATCCCCAACGCGTACATCTCCGTGGCGATCCGTGCAATCCGCGAAGCCGCCGCACGCGTCCCATGCCGATCCATCCCCGCAGCAGATACTTTCCAGGGCGGGCTTGCGGACGACCAATCCGTTTTGATTGGAGGCTTGTCAAGCCACACAAAGCCCCTCATCTCGTCCGGCCGCCACCACATGTCGCTGTACTTTCGACGCTGATGCCACGTTCGTGCCGAGGCGCCGATACCGAAGGCGATGTGGGAGAGATTCGTCGGCGGCTGGAGTTGATTGATTGGTGTGATTGGGGGGGCGTGACATGAGCGGAACCGCCAGGGGGATGGAGCGGATGAGAAAAGGGAGTAGGTGACGAGTGCGAGAGAGAAAAGGAGGAACGTGCAGAGGGAGGCCTTGATGGTTCGTCGGAGGATTACGCGGGTGATTTCAGACGTTAGGAAGCAGGGTTTACAGACGGGAAGCATCATTCCTGCCGCGTTTAATTTTGGGAGAGATGCAAGACGAAAAGGGACTTTTTTTTTCCAAGCGAGGAAGAGAACAATGCGTTATATGATTTTTCGAGTGATGCAACGTCTTTTATAACCAATTTTAATGTTTGTATTTTGGCTGAATACGAATACGAGGATAAATAAATAGAGGTTGCTTGATGGATGGATTCGTAGCTGAAAAATGGCATTATTTACAACAGGTGCTTGTTTTAACTATTCTATTTAAGACTCATAACGGAGAAATTTTCTGCAATGACTTTTTCTTCATTTCATTAGAAATTGTCCTTTGTACAAACGCTTTAACGTAAGTTTTATCTAAGAAATGGACAATTTACATACCTACCCTTTAATTTTTATGTATTTAAATGTCTAACATATAATTTTTTTTTAAATATATATATATATATATATATGTATGTATTTATATGTTATTTATGCATAAAAAGTTGTATTTTATTTTTCAAAAGTAAAAAAAAAGTGATATTTTGATGAGATAAAAAGGATTTTGGTGGTATAAATATGCATAAAAAGTTGTATTTTATATTTCAAAAGTTAAAAAAAGTGACATTTTGATGAGATAAAAAGGATTTTGGTGGTATAAATATAAGAATTGAAATTTAGCTATTAGATATGTAAATGCTTAGGAATTAGGTGGCACGTATGTAAATTGCCCATTAATAAAATATTTATTTAGATTGTAAATATTTATTGATTATTATGTTTTTTATTAGATCAAACATTTCGTTGACAAATGGGGCTCCTATTTGATGATGATGTTTCGTCTGAACGGTCTATTATTTAATATACGGTGTGCAATGTCAAATATATAGTTAGAAATGTACCCCCAAATTTGATGATATTCATGTACCAACATCGGCTTGATTTTTTCATCGTCGGAGAAGAAAAGCCTTCTTCTCAAGCATCACATATATATTATACGGTGGACCATGTCAAATATCTAGTTGGAGATGCATCATACTTATACTTCACCAACAAATTTTTATTAACCAGCACGAATCTCGATGCAATTTTTTAAACAAGAAATATTTAAACTTCAATTAAAAGTCATCCAAAGCTCCGATTTCAGCAAACTTATAGTCAAACTGATCGGCTTGATGAGATGGACCTAATGATATAAAAGTCAGTCCAATCCGAGTCAAATCAAGCCTATATCAAATAATTAAACCACTATTTCAAAATTTTCGGAGGCATTTGAAAAGTCAAACGGATGTCGAATCTAGCGAGTTCATAGTCGAATCGAGTATCTCGACAAGACGACTCCAATGAGCCCAAGATTGGTCAATTCCAACATTGTTAAGGCACTCAAATGTCCAACAAACATCATCTGATCAAGGAAAGTTCTACAGACCGTCCGATCAAAATGGTTCATATTCCTGCATTAATTGCACTCAAAACACTATAAATAGAGTCTCACCCCTCACATGCAAGGAGGAGGCTTAAGAGAGAACTTGAGGCTTTGAGAAGGAGCTCAAGTCCAAGATCATCCTCGCCATTGTCGATCGTCGTCGACCACCACTGATCGTCGACAACGACCGTCGACCACCGCCGACCACCGTTGAACGCCGCCGATCACCGCTGACCTCTGTCAACTACCACCGGCCGTCATCGGCTGGTGCTTGTACCCCCCCCACCGACCGTCATATATTATCGTCAACTACCGTCGATCACCGTCGACTGTCGTCAGCCACCTCTGACCTTCGTCGACCACGATCGAATGTCATCGATTGTCGTCAGCCACTGGTGACCTCCGTCGACCACCGCTCGTCATCGATTATCGTCAACTACCGTTGATCACCGTCGACCTCCGTCAACCACCGCTGACTAGAAGTCGTCAATCGACGTTATAACTTGGAGAGCTAGTAACTCTTTCTCGCCTGTGGGACAAGGGGCATCTGTAATCATCAACTTATAGTAGATTTTTACAACAGGGCCAGGTCCCGTGGTTTTCACTTTACAGGTTTTCTACGTAAAAACTTCTGGTATCATCACAGCTTGATCTGAGTGCGTGATAAATCCTCGCGCAACGCTAAGACGATAATCCATTACTCTACCACAGTGAATTTTCTAGCACGCATCAGTTTGGCACCGTCTGTGGGAAAGTTTCAATCCCACAAATAAAGTACTTATGTGGTTTACTACATGGCCACCAGACACAATGTTCGTGACAATGGAGCATCCCGCTCCAACACCAATCGTTTGAGGGAGCAGTCACGAAGCCATGGGTCGTATGCTTCTTCATCTTCACGCCCTGAAAGACGTTATCCTGCCAACAAAATTGTTTCAGGTCATTCTATAGAAGATTGAATGCGTAGAATGGAGGAGTCTCAACTAGGAATCATACGGCGCGTACCCAGGGGCTCAACAACCTCTGGCCACACCATTAACTCTGCGACGCACGAGAAGCATACTGCTCAGAGGAACTCGTACCGGCCCACCTCCTCAAGAAGGAACACATCACTTATCAGGTCGTGATGCTGAACTCCTAGATACCGCAAGTTCCATGCATCCATCTCGAGCAGCTCATCCGACATCGCCACATCTTCCTGTCATTCCAGATGATATCATTCGTAATGAACTACGATGCCACATCCGAGAAGAGTTCCCTATAGAGAAAAAGGATCGCTTCTACACTCACCGTAACATCCTTGAATCCTTTCCCTTAGTGGATGCGGTCCTCCAACACCCCATCCCAATAGGCTTCAAGCTTCTAAACATCGATACATATGAAGTGATAACCGACCCCTACGAACATATTGATCATTATCAAACTATCATGCACATTCAGCGTACCTTTGATTCACTTCTCTGTCAGGTTTTCCCGGCTACTCTTAAAGGACAAGCTCGAACCTAGTTATACTCTCGGCCATAGGGCACTGTAAACACCTTTAATGACCTTGCCAGACTGTTTGTAGAACATTTCGTAGCAAATCGACGGATCATCAAGGATTCATCCCATCTCTTGGGAATTCGTCAAAGCAAAAGAGAATCATTGAAGGATTACTTCCGCAGGTTTTCTACTGAAGCCTGACAGATCCTGTGAGTAAATCCAGAGTTACTAAGAGGAGTCTTTCGTGTGGGCCTCCGTCCATGACCTTTCTGCTCATCGTTGATGCGGAAGACGGTTCATTCTTATGCTGATCTTGTTCACTGTGATGAGGCACAAATCTCTGCAGATGAGGCCATTATTGCTCACAAGGAACAATTTGAGCGATTGGGGGGCAAGCACAAGAATAACGCTGGGGATACCAATCAATTCTCACAACAAAAAAAGTTTAGGCCACAAGGGAATCGTGAGCAACAATCAGAAAAAGATTACACGCCACTCAACACGTCATGTGTTAACATCTTAATGGCAATTAAGGAAGAAGAGACTGTCAAGTGGCCAAAGCCGTTAAGAAATCCAGATGGTGGAGACCAGTCTCAATATTGTCATTTCCACCGTGCAAAATGACATTCAACAGAAAGATGTTTTAATTAAAGGAAGAAATTGAACATTTAATATGCCAATGCCACCTAGGTCGCTACTTACAAGAACAATGTGAGTGGAACCAAAAGAAAACTGTTGGAGTTATTAAATGAGAAGTATAAATCCAACTCATATTATCTGAGTAAAAGACTGATTTATGAATGCTTAATTTTATTTTAGCAAAATTTTTATGTTGCTTTAAAATATCATTTCAATGAAATTTTCTTATGAAATTTTGAAAGATTTTTGTGTAGAAAACCCCCTTGAGGAAGAGAAGTTATACCCCTACCTTGAGGATGAGAAGGAGGAAGAGAAGTTATACCCCTAAAAGTCGAGCCCAAGAGGCAAGACTCGACGGGAAGGTATGGTACTCCTAAAAATCAAGCCCAAGAGGTAAGTCTCGATGGGAAACTAGTTGTGGACAGGTCCTCACTAGAAAGACTCCATGAGAGCAAGTGGTTGACAGAGTCTCCACTTAAAGACCTCAGAAGGCTACAAGTTTCAGGAGGCACAGATACACTCAAAGACTCAGAAGGCTACAAGTCTAAAGAGACAAACACATCAATGATCTCTCAAAGACTTCAGAAGACTACAAGCCTCAGAAGGCGCATGTACATCAACGACCTCAAAAGGTTACAAGCCTCAGAAGACACAAAAGCATAAAAATTCCTCAGAAGGCTACGAGCCTCAGAAGAACTTTGCATAATTAAGAAGCCACAATAACCTTGGAAGCAACAAAAAAATATATTGTTATCATCTACAATTGTCACATCAGATGAATAAAAATGCTACAAATACCAACATATACATGTACAAGGGCTACAACAAACCAGTTCTTCTTCAATTAGAGTTGACATCGCTTTCCTAAAATTTCAGTGTTTCTGATGATCGTCAAGGGGTCTCCAGATATCGCCACCACATAAGAATGAAAATTCCCCCCTCATGGCGAGGCGAGAAAATTACATCATTTCTTCATCACTTTCATAACATGCCAGAGCAGCAAGAGAATCTCCTTCGGAATATGCGACGCTCCACCACAATGTGTCGCGTGGTCACAACACCCCGCCGCAAAGCGTCATCGCGACACCCCATCGAGATGCTCCACCGCAATGTTTTGCGGCAACTCTTCGCTGCAACGTTTTGCCGCAACACTTCTCCGCAATGTTTCGCCGCAACTCTTTCC